GGAATCCATATTTTGACTTGTTTTGTTGAATGTTTTTGAGGAATTTATCTGTTGTATTATCTGATTCTTTTTTACATAAATTTTGGAATATGTATCTTCACAAAAGACATGTTTTGTATAAAACATACAGGGTAAATCCTCTAAAAAAAAAGAAATTGTGTGAGCATATGTAGAATGAATGTAGAATGAGTAAGAGGGAGGGTTAATCACTGCGACCTTAAAGATCTATTGTGCCCCCTTCCTTGAGTCACACATCCTCCTCTGATAACAGTTCTTCCTCCGAGGGTACACACCCTTCCCCGGTTGGAGTTTGGCCCTCCGTGCCGCTCTTCACAGTCGAGGAGCTTGCCTCTGGCTGAGGAACCCGTGAGGTGGAGGCTGGAGGATCTGTCTCCATTTTCTCCACCTCTTTAACTTGGTCTCTCCTTAGACCTGATACCGGTGTTGTTCCGTATCTATAATAGAGGATATATACTCTTTCTCTATTGCCTCCTTGGATTTGAGGTCAATTCCTATTGTGAGGACCTGATCATGACCCTCCTCCCTCAAGTTGATGACTCGCCAACTCGACGTCCTTACATTGAAGTTCTGACCCTGGATAAGGCTCAGCAGGTAGGTGGTGTCTTTCCCCTTGCTCCTCGGCAGAAAGACCGTGATGGCCGCCCCTTTAGGGATGTTTTCTCTCTTCACTGGTGAGCATATGTAGGTTAATTTAGAGCATTTTTGAAAAATATTGAGTTTCACAGGGTGTCTCCAAAGAAAGTTACACATCAACCTTGTGTTTTTTTATAATGGAATACCCTAGATATATTAAATAATTTTCGGATTCTAGGAGAGAAACAAAGGAGCGTTTCATTAGAGAGTATAATATGATTAAAATGTAAGCTTATTGACATATTTCACATTTTCTAAAAATGAAGAACAAATTTTAAATTCTATTAAAAACTACCTAACTTGATTCTTCCCCGGTATAGACTAATATGTAAAATAACTATTGTACTTTAAATCAAATTAATATTTGACCCAAAAAGTTATACAAGGTGAGACAAAATTAATATTGAAGAAGATTCATTTTATGCAGTGAACATGAAAGGAAGCAGTTTCAGCATTTATTTTTATGACATAATTATACATTTTTATCTAGTTTTAATTCTGTATTATTGTCTTTATTAGCGTTAGATATTTTACTCTACTTCCTTAAATTTTTTATAAAATTAAGGAAAGGTATGTCACAGCCGCCTAGATTTTATCAAATAATAAAGATATACTGACCCATAATCATAAAAATGAAAATCTAGGAAAATCTTTGTCTAAGGGGAAGGCAACATTAATTTAACATTAAAGTTTTAAAGATATATGAATTCTGCATTGAATATCGGCAATAATATACTGGGTGTTCCATTTAAACCAATGTTCAGTATCATTTTTGTCTCACCCTTTAAACTTTGCGGGTCAAATTTTATTTGCTTTAATATCCATTGGTTATTTTAACTATCAGACTATTACAACAGGGTAAATTACAATGTAGGTTCTTTAATGAAACTCGCCTTTATTTTTTTCTAGAATCAGAAAATCAATTAATAAATAGGGTGTTCCATTACAAAATAAACTTTGATGCGTAACTTTTTTAAGGGACTCTATCTATAAAACTATATATTTTTATAAAATGCTTTCTATTAATCTACATATGCTCCCAAAATTTCATTTCGATATAAACTAACGTTCTCCTTATATCCTCCGCATCATATGAGAGGTGCAATCGCCACCCTGTATATTGGTTAAGCATTCACCTGTGATGAAGTTGAGTGCAGTCAAGAGTAAGGTTCTCTTATAATGACTCGAGCACTTGTATGATTTATAATTGATAAGTTGTTTTGTGGTGCCAAATACCCAGATATTTAAATGAAATAACATAAATTATTTATTGATATTAAAATCAATCTATGAAGAAATGCTTTTACGATAGCGTACGCAATTACCATACTGTCCTACAACACTGGAGGCCTAAAACATCACAAGATTCTTCAATACTAAAATATTTTTTTGATTCTTTGTTAGTCGGCAGTACTATATCGGAACAATATTCAAGATAAAGAACCATGCATTTTGAGATCTATTATATTAAGCTGAATTCAATAATCATACGACCCAACTATTAACTGAACCTACATTTAATTCAAAACAAGGAATGTTGACGGGCATGCTGACCGACATCGACACAGTCGATTCCAGTTTTAATACGCAGAGGAAATATAGTCCATGTCACTGTCAAATTCTCAAAATCTAGTGCATCCCGTCGGCTTGTTTTCGGTAATTGAATTGCAAATTGATTTTAAAAGCGAAATAATTGAAATTGTCTGCGAGCTCTGGATTGATATCTTTTGATGGCGGGAAAACAAGGCCCGTTAAATTAGATCGAAACGTTGTGGTGTAATAAATTAGCCAATGAACTAATAGCTTTTAGATATTTAGATATCAAATTAGTTATGTTAGTGTAATTATTTGTTAAATTTATATAATAAGAGATGGTATTTTCCTTGTCAGAAAACCTTTTGTTGCGGTTTGGATAGGACAAAATAGATTTTTTAGATGAATTGTCTTATTGTCCTGAATATGCTAATGTAGTGTTCAGATTCCATAGCTGTACCTCATTAAATCGTTACTCCAGTTCCCGTTTCATCGGAAATGGCTATAACTTTTGATTTTTAAATGGCACCCTCGGTATTTTTTTTACTTTATTCGATAGAAAATGATACTCTGAATAGAATGACATTTGACTTTTGATATTTTTACTTAAAACAAAATGTATGTGTTGAAAACACTAATTTTTAATCAAGGAGTCTTAGTAAAATAGTTTTGATCGTCTAATGTTTTAGTGTTTTGTCCTGGTCGGTTAAAAGATGCCGAAATCGTATTTTTAATCATATATCAATTTTTTCAAATGGAACGAGGAAAAAAGCATTTTTTACGAATAATTTGGTATCACACCCTTGGTATTTGAGTCAAATTGTCGTTATGAAACCGCATGTTGCAATTTTAAATAAACCATATTCGAAAATGTCAAAAGTTGCAGTCATTTCCGGTGAAACAAAAAGTGGCCGAAAATAATTGAATACCTCAATCGATCCTAATTTATGGCAGATACTAACATACCAAATCTCGATTTTTTATTTGAAAAAATAAAAAAGATATAGAAGTCGCTTTTCAGACGCACCCGGTATACTAGTACAAAACACCCGTGACGGAGTTAGGCACAATCAAGCTTGAGGTTTTCCACTGAGATTGCCATATTGTGGAAATTTCCATATTTGTATTGCTGAAGAAGTTGTTATTGTTTGCTCTAATAATGGCTTCTTTAAATTTACACTTTTCTAAAGAAGTCATTTATGGACAACACAGGCTTCCGACCACTTTATATTAAACTGCTTGGCACATGGTCTGCAATTATCTTTATTTCTTTAAGAGTTTATTATTTCACCCTCTCTTTGTATATTTTTTTATGTTCGTTAAGTCATACATTTAGAGGATTTTTGTCTATTCAATATACGACTCACCGTATTCACATGGTATCTGGTAGATGGAGTCCTGCTCTTGTTTTTTGTTAAGATTCTTAACTAGGGAAATTATCAGTTAATTGCATTAAACCCAATCAACGATAATTCACTAAATTGTTAACAGTCCTGTAATGTAAGAATAATTATTCTCAAAATATTATTATACTTAACTCACGCATTTTCATTACCGCACTCCTTGTCTAGATGACTACCAAAGAGAAAAACTATTTTGTAAAACATTTATTTTGCACTAAATACCTACTAAATACAAATAAACTGTTCTATTGATAATAGTTATAAAACATGAAAACTTATTTATTATAAATGTTAATGATACAGTTCCACAAACAAAAGTGAAACAAAACAAGTATACAAATTACATTGTCAGTCTTATTGTTTAAAATAAACATTTATAAATGTTTACAATCATTCAAAAGAATAAAAAAATAAAAATAGGATTTAAAAATATTTAGTAAGTTTATAGTAAATATAGTAATAGCAAATATTAGACCAGTGTTTACATGTTCAAATTAGAGATCAATAGATTGTCAAAATATAAGTCATTTACGGCGTAGAAAGCCTTGTCTAGTAAATAAGTTTTCAAGCTTTGAGAAATGAAGAAAATGATGTTATAGATTTTATTTCAAATGGCAGGTGATTGTGCATTTTTTTCGAGTTGTATAATATTGAACTTTTAACTAACTCTGAGCGTGGGGTAGGTAGATAAAGATCTTGCTCCGCGTTCTTGAGTGGATAAGTGTGAGATGGCCTTTCATGAGAAGCTGATCCATGCTTACGTATTAGGCAAACGGATTCAAATATAAATAGGGAAGGAAGAGTTGTAATATTTTTAATTTTTTTAAAAAGTCCTGGCAATGAATTCTGCTGTTTCGTCCCAGTGAATATCGAACAGCTCTCTTCTGGAGCTTGAAAATGCGGCCAAATTGAGTCGCGCAACACGTACCCCAAAATGGAAGGGCATACCTGAGGTGCGACTCAAAAAGTGCATAATAAACAGTTCTAGCCACTGACAAGTTAAGCTCCTTAGAAACAGATCTTAATTTTTTCTAGATTTTTTCGACAAAGCGTCAATATGCATGTCCCATTTTAGAGAATTGTCTACAACAAGCCCTAAGAATTTTATAGATTTTACGACGTCAATGGTGGTGTTGTTAAGTACAAAAAGCTGCAGCGAGTTTTTATACGACAAAGCTTTAGTTTTAGAAATGTTGAGACTCAGGAGGTTGGAATCGCACCAAGATTTAATGGTAAAATAATCCTATGAAATGCCGTAACGTCCTTGTTGCTCCAAGTGAAGCTAGTGTCGTCCGCAAAAAGACGACCTTTACCTTCTATCCCTTGATGGGCTAGCACCTAGAGTAGGAGGATTTTATTTTCTTTGTTTAATTTGTTTATTCAGTTAATAATACGTTTTTTTTGTTACAGCCTCGCGTATTCGATACGAGATCACAAGCGGTAACATAGGTGGCGCCTTTGCCGTCAAAAACATGACAGGTGCCATCTATGTAGCCGGCGCTCTGGACTACGAAACAAGGAAAAGGGTGAGTAAAAAAATCATCATTTTTTAGATATACGGAGTTACAATATAAAAAAATTACTAACATTATTGAAAATAGATCTGAAGTTTGGAGAGAATAATTTTAGCAAATAAGGAAAAACGAAAAAAGCTTTTACTTTATATGTGCCATTTTTTTTTTGATCTGCTTATGTACTAATGACGTTCTTATTTTTGAGCAAAAACCAACAAGAAAACGGAAAACTGTTTATACTAAATGTGTTTCTGACATCAGCGAAAAAATCTCATTTCCTTTTTTCTTCTGTTTTTCGGGATCGCTTAAAAATCATTACCGCGTCGAGAGCTTTTCACTTTTTCTCTATGGATTTTCCGGATTATTATTTTCGAATTTGTAGAAAAAAAAACGACGAGATGGATGCAAAGAGTTCGGCGAGACAGGACAAAGAAAAGATTTAGCGCGGCGTAGATTTCGAATTCTTTGAAATTGAAATGTAGCCCGGCCAAATTTACATTTTATTGACGCAGTTATAGACGTGACGCGGTACAAGGGAATTTCTCTGACCCTGTTTCTGGTTCTAAACTGAATTTTTTGAATAAAAGGAAGCTTATTATCTGGATATTTTGTAATCGGATTTCGGAAGCGAAAATGACAGCTGGAATTTAATATTCTTGTAACGCTCCGCTAAATTCTAAAACATTAATTTTATAATTGAAGATATAGTACAGGGCGAGTCTTAAATAAGCGCAAATATTTTTAGGGGTAGTATATTTTGACCACAGAAACACGTTTATGAGGTTTTTTTGCACGAAAAAATAATTGAAAATTTGGAATTCTTTGAAAAAAATTTGGAAATTTTTTTAGTTAAAAAATATAATTTGTTGATAATATGGCTACATAGTTAGTAGATTAAATTTACACGAAAAATATCCGTAAAAGATTCAGTGGTTCTCAAAATTTTAACAAAAAATCATTTTTTTGAAAATTTTCAAAGTAAAATTTTGGATTTAGAATTTTTTATTTTGGATTTATTTGAAAACGGTAAAGACAAAATATGTTTCTTTTATCGAGATCTACCAGCCCTAAAAATATTTGCACTTATTTAAGACTCACCCTGTAACTCTAAGGAGCGATTTTCGGAAATGCATTTCCTAAGAAGGGGGTAAAATTTTTTATAAACATTTTTAAAATCTGTCTTAAGACTATGAAATTTTGCGCAGAGGTAACTTAAGAGACGAAAATTAGTCCTCAGTAGGGATTTTTGAAAGTGGTGAAATCAGGGGTGAAAGTTTGTACAAAAATTTGATTTTTTTACCTCTGAAAAAATCATTTTTACCAAAATACCAGACAAAAATGTGGCTGTGATAAAAAATTACTGTTGAAACCCCATGAATTGAATATCCGCAAAACCGTTAAAAATTTTGAAATATTTTAAATACAAAAAATGTTTAATTTTTAATTCTCCATCTAACAAGGAAATAATATACTGGGTGTTCCAGTTAAAAAAAAGGAGAAAAATTATTTTATGTTTTCCCAAGTTTGCCATAGAATTTTGAAACCCTGTATGGTTTAAGATTACAATATTCATAGCAAAGTCCCGAAGATAACAAAAAAGTTTTTTTTTTCCTTTTTAAAGAGTACATTTTTTTATGGGTTAGGAATATTTGTGGAACAGGTGAAAAGCCATTTAGATTTGTGTCTTCGTAGGTTATAAAACAGGTACTTTATAAAACCATAAAATTTAAAAAATATACGTACCTATATTTTGATTGTTCTTGGTTTATTTACTTTGCACGTTTATAAAAAATTCAGTGATATACAATATATTGCAAGTATTCTATTAAAATACAGCAGAAAATGAATACTCTTAGTAAATTTTAATGTTTTTATAGGTAATACCACAATAACGAGAGCACAGAAAAATATCGGATCCTACAAATGAAAAATGCTCATATCCATAATATTCCTATTCGTAAAGTTCGTTCAGCTGTAATCTTTTAAACAAAAGGAAAAAAAGAGAAAACAAAACAGCTCCGCCGATAAAACAGAGCTTTGGAATCGCAGACAATATATCTGTCTATATTAATATTCAACACAAAGGGCTAGGGCAATTTTTTATCTCAATTTCCTGATTATCCAAACTATAAATTTGTTGGTTGAAATTGAAATTGGTTCGATATAATAAATCGCCAAACACAGCTGTCTTCTGGGTAATAAAACGGATCATCTATATAAATGAAGATATTTTTATAAATTGCATTTGTTGCCAGTAGCACATGGGACCGGCAGGGGATAATGGACAGTTTTCTAGCGCACCGACGTGTTTATTAATTCAAAGCGCAGTAACATGCAATTATTTTCACTTTTCACAGTAATACCATCAATAATTATTTACACTGAAAAAATGCAATACAAACATTTTTTTCCAATAAAAATGGTGTATGGTGGTGTTCAAAAATATAAATATACAATTTTGTTCACATTATTTGACGGAGAGTATTGCCACTAAATGATTAGAATTTTTAAAATTGTGTTGGAGTCTTTGATATATTACGAGAGCTACAATTTAACATTGTTTTCATAAGATACAGACTGTTCCAAAAAATAAAGGAATAAAAAAAAAGTTTTTAAAAAAATACTAAATTATAAAATAACACAACATTAATAGAATACCCTGTATATTAATACATTTTCAGTTTTTACAATTGAAATAAAGGTAAATATTAAATATTGTGTTACGGTAGTAAAAATAATACTACATTATATACAGGAAGTCTAAAAATTTAATCTAAATAATGCTGGTTTTAAACAGCAACAACTTTATTATTATTATAACAACTTAATTTAAATGGAACGCACCGTATATTTTGCAAATATCAGATGATTAGGAATTGTTCTAAATAAATGAGAATTTGAATCAGAATTCTCAATCCTCTAATTTTGTTTCTTAATATTGAAATAATTCAAAAATTTCTTAATATTCAAATAAAAAATCGTTTCTTAATATTCACTTTCGTCACTTAAAAACCTCTGCAAAATTTAATTTAATAACGAGGCTTCTTGACCTTTTAAAATAAAATTGTTAATTGATCTATAAAATATATAATTTTGTTTGTTGGATGTGAAACTTTTAACAAACAACCATCTGCAAAACTAATATAACAAAATTTATAACCATTTCTCGTAAACATAAAATAATAAAATACGGTCGCAGGCAGTTATACGGTTCTCTGTCCTAACGCTGCTTTATGTTTGTGTATGCCGTTTTCTCATATAGGACGTCGGCTTTGAAAATAGAGAATAAGATAGAAAGACCAGCTGCGAGCGGTTTATTATCAAAACAGTCTTAAATCACAGAGATTTAGTGGGCAAAATTGGGAAATTCCCGGAATTGGAATCCTTTCGGTCTTTAATACTGGATTTTGGAATGAATAGAGATAATGGTTGCAATTAAAAGGGTAGTAAGATGATATATAGATGTAATTGGTCAAATCCTTCGATAAGGCAGAGCAAAGAGAGTCGTTTGGAGAAAATGTAAAAAATGATAGATAACCACACGAGAGATAACACAGAATTCAAATCATTTAAAATTATTTATTATATTATTTTCCTCGATTGATTTTTTATAATCGTTTAGTCATCATCATCATTTTTAGTGTATTTAACCATTTCCAATTATGGTGTAATATCCCTCACATATTTAGATACTCTCTTTGTAGTTGGGCCCATTGTTGTCTATTGTTGGCTATGCGGGCACAAGTTATCCCTGCAGGTTCGGTCTTCTTCTAAGTTTCTTAATTCCTTGTGGGTACCATGCTATAATTTTTGTAGTCCATCTGTTGTCCGCTCTTCTTTCCAGGTATCCTGTTCATTGCCATTTGAAGGATTTGACTCTGTGGAAGACATCTACTACCTGGGTCTTTTGTCGTATCCACTCTATTATTTTACGGTCTCTCTTGGTTATTTCCAGTAATTTTCGTTCCATTGAGCATTGTGCGACCTGCCGTTTCCTGATGATGTCCATTTTAAGTGTCCAGGTTTCGCATGCGTAGGTCATGACTGGTAGTTCACATTGGTCCAATGTTTTCTTCTTTAGATAGAGTGGCATTCTAGATTTAAATAGTTTCTTCCATAAGTACTCCATGCTAACTTAATTCTTCTGTTGATTTCTGGTAGTAGAGATCCCGAGCTTGTTTTCCAGCTGATTCCTGTTTGAAAAAGGTGATTATGGTATCTCGCAATCAAAAAGTATCATTTGACATTTAATAGTACCATCTTATAAAAAAGATAAAAGCAACAGCGATAAAGTGACATGTAGTTCAAAATATTTCCTCTCATTTTATTGGACAGAAAACTGAGAAACTTGTTCATTATTTGACCTCCTTTACCTTTTTTGTACTTTCTAAGATCACAATGATCACTATTGAATTTGGGATACCTTATACTAAGCATAACACTATAATCAAAAATTCAGTCACAAAAAGGCTAGTGGTTTTCATAATCAAAAAAGCTTTTTATTATGTACCATGTAGGACCACCTAATTTTCCAAGATTGACATTATACAGGATGAGTCTTAAATAAGTGCAAATATTTTCAGGGCTGGTAGATCTCGATAAAAAAAACATATTTTCTTTTTACCGTTTTTCAAATATGTAACTCCAAAATAACCGAGTTATTTTACTTTGAAAATTTCCAAAAAAAAAGATTATTCTTCTAAAATTTTGAGAACTACTGGATCTTTTCTAGGTTTTGTCTCTTATAAATTTAATCTACTACTTATTGCCATCAAGAAATAATGCTTTTTTTTAACTAAAAACTAAAAAAAATCCAATTTTTTTTTAAAAATTTCAAATTTTCAAAAAAAATCTAGAAAAAATCCACATCGTGTTTCCGGGGTCGAAATATACCACCCCTAAAATTATTTGCACTTATTTAAAACTGATCCTGTATAATTATAACAGTTAAAATCCGTTTTAAAAATATTTTGATAAGGAAATGTAAATGTAGCAATTTAAAACTAATGTGG